TGATAAGAGAATGGACATTTAACTCCATAAATATAAGAAGACTATATATAAAATTAAAGATCTTTCCTTAAAAATACAGTCTTATGAAAAATTCACTTATATTAATATAAACATTTTCATTTTACCCTAGACAAGTGAAAATTTCCATAAAAATAATATCCATTGCTATGAATGTATCTATTTACTTTTTGCTCCTGAATTTATTACCTCTGCACAAAATATCTTTTCCCACCAATTCTCCCATTTTATTCTTTCTTGTTATTTATATATAAACTTTAGGAAACTGTTCTGGGTAGCTAGAGACTCAGCCTCTTCTACATATTATCTATGAATGTTGCAATTTCACATTTGTTTATGTGCTAATTTTATTAACGTCTTCCTTCCCAACTAGGCTCTTGGCTCCATGAAGGCAGAGACTAAACATTTTTCGCTCAATATTACAGTCCTGCTCCCCAACAAATTGACACAATAAACTCTCACAAAATGTTATGGAATAAATAGATGGATGAATACATCAGGAAGCTGATAATCATCTCACAAGTTTGTTAATATCTGGGATTAACTTAATTATACATATATATGAATATGTTTAAGTAAACTTTTTAATATCAGGATGGTTTTTGATTTACAAAAAAATATATAATTATAGAACAGAGTTGCCATATACCACATAGCTAGTTGCCCCTATTATTGGCATTTTACACTTCATAACTATGACACATCTATTATGATTAACAATACAATGATATGAATACACTAGCATTAACCAAAGTCCACACTCTTTTCAGATTTCCAAAGGTTTTACCAAACTTTTTTTTTTTTTCTTGCTATTCCTGGATCCCATCTGGACTGATAGCACATTTAGTCAATAGGTCTCCTTAGGCATCTGTAGGTTATACCAGTTCAAATTTTCCTTATTTTTGAAGACATCGTCAGTCTTGAGGAGTGCTGGTCAGGTATTTTGTAGACTGTTCATCAGTTGGGATTGTCCACTGTCTTTCCATGATGAGACTAGGATTATGGATTTGGGGGCAAAGATCACAGAGGCAAAGTGCCATTTTTATCACATCATATCAAGGTTACATATGATTAACTTCATTTGTTAACATTATTAACTATGTTTGTTAGGTTTGTCCACTCCAAAGTTGTATAATTTCCACTTTCCCTTCTTAACACTGGAAGAAGTTCGCTATACACATTAACAAACAAGACTAAGAAATAAAGGACATTTTTAATAATAGCATATTTTATTGGAGATTGTAACATCCACAATATTGCATTTGAAGTCCTCATTGTATGGCATTGTTTTCAAAGATATAAGGCAAATATTAGCCTTCTGTTAGTGTTGAATGGATTACTAACTTTTAAAAAACTTACAGACTATGGTATTTAAACTTCTATAAAATATCCTAAATATCATTGTAACCTAAGAAAGAAGGCAACACCACTAAAATCTCAATATTTGAAAAGTAAAAAACTAAGAAGCTAAGTTTTTGTGTAAATAGTTTAATATGGGGGTTGTCTTGCATCACTTTGAGAATTTAGTAATTTGTACAGCCAGCTAAATGTAAAATACCTATTCGAAATTTGGATTGTATTCACTATTGCCACCATGATGTACAATATTAGTACATCATGGTGAAAATATGAGCTTTCATTGATCATTATAATAAAATATAAAGTAATTGAGTGTTTGCTATATATGTTTATATATTGATTGTATGAAATCAGTAAATACACATCAAACCAAAATGAATGGGTTTTTTTTGTTTGTTTTGTTTTTTTCAGATGGAGTCTCACTCTGTTGCCCAGGATGGAGTGCAGCGGTGGTGAGATCTCGGCTCACTGCAAACTCTGCCTCCTGGGTTCACACCATTCTCCTGTCTCAGCCTCCCAAGTAGCTGGGACTACAGGTGCCTACCACCATGCCTGGCTAATTCTTTGAACGTTTAGTAGAGACAGGGTTTCACTGTATTAGCCAGGATGGTCTCGATCTCCTGACCTCGTGATCTGCCCACCTCGGCCTTCCAAATGCTGAGATTACAGGCAGGAGCCACCGCGCCTGGCAATGAATCTTAAAAATATTTGAGTTCATGACAATGACAATAATAAAAAGTTAAATATATTATTACTCTACCTATTCTAAAGAGCTTCTATATTCAGAGACAATGACTAGGACAGGGAAAGTCTCAGATGACATGTCAGAGAGAAGCAGAAAGGAGCCAGTGATATTTCTATTTAAAAAAAAAAGACTGCAACATATGACACTTGTCTTTGTATGTTGGAGGAACTGCCAAGTGAAAGAGAAAGTTGAATTATTGTGTGTCTTTTTCAAAGCAGAACTAGTATAAATGGATGAAGGTTATAAGAGAGATATTTTTGTTCATTAAAAGTATTTCTTAATATTAAGTTGTCAAAAATTTAATTGCTATATTGTGAAGCAATGGTTTTCTATGTCATTTAAAGATTTCCAGCAGAGAGCTGTCTGAAAGAATCTTTTCAGGAGAGATTTCTAACTGGGCAGGAAATGGGGCTAGATAATCTCCTGATCCCTTCCAGTAAGAAGGTTTTAGGAAACCACAAGTCAATGTATTCTTAGGAGACTCCAAGTTGTTGTACATGATACATGTGTTCAAAACTATTTGTCTTGATTTGCAACTAGATATATGCTTTACAGTGCATTTATTTCCAATTGCTCTGCTACACTGTATTTCCTATACTTGTCACTTAGAAATTGACTCAGTGAGTTATAGAAAGAAAATTTATTTAAAAAATTTGTCTATCAGACACTTCATTATGAGAGATAGAGATTTATGATGGACAGAAGGAACTATACCCAGAAACACAGGGAACATCTACCATGGACAGCACCTCTGTTTCCTCATGACAGCAGCAACTTTTCCCTACTCTAAAACACAGTGGCCCCTTGAAAGATGTAAGAATTTAAGGAGTAATACATGTGAATCTCTTCTTGCAGTGTTTACTGCAGTTAAATGTGTTTTTCTCTCTTCTGTCTTCATTTTTCTTTACGTTCTCAGCAATGTTTCCTTCAAACAACTTGATTGATAAGGGACTCACTCATTCCCTTCCTATTCGTTCCGTATGGGCTGTGTTAAGTACTGGAAATACAAGGACACAGTCAGTAGTTAGTGTGTGACCTGAGCCAGCCAGCACTTCCTAGGGCCCATCTTCACAGGACACTCTCAGGGATCGATGGCATCTTTCTTTCTCAGTTTTGACTGCCTGACAATTCAACAGTCACGCCTGCTCCTCAGGGACAGCAGTTCCTTATTCTCATCTTGTGTGGTTTCTCCCTCCTGGTTTCCAGTGACATGTGAAAGCTTCTAGCCATGCTTATCCAGGCACTGAGAGCCAACACTGCTTCCCAATTCCAAAGACAGTCCTTGCTCAGACTGCGTGAATGCAACAATTCTGATCATTGTTTTTCCGGTGATGTCAGTTGGCTAAAAATTAAGTATATAGGAACTCTATAGGCTGATTTGCACTGGGAATAATTAATAATGTAAATGTTAGGTTGTTTTCTAACATATGCAAGTATGTTTTACAGTTATTCTGAAAAAAGCTACGTGTGACATGAATTAAAGGCATGATTTTTAAATTAAACTGTAAGCTTTACATTAAGTGAAAACATGCAACTGAATAAAGATATGTTGTATTAGTTTCTATTATTGTCATATCAAATTCCTACAAACTAAGGTGGTTTAAGAAAAACTCACAAATGTATATATTATCATACTGTTCTGTAGGTTGTAAGTCCTAAATGAATCAAACAGGAGAGAAATTGAGGTGTTGTCAGGGCTGTGCTGCTTTCTGGAGGATCTAGAGTAGAAGTGCAGCCTTTCACTGCTATTGGACGACTGCTTTCTTTGAATTGTGTTCCCTTCTCCATCTTCAGAGACAGAAACACTGGGTTCAGTTCCTCTTTCCCTGCTGTCTCTTGTTCTCTCACTCTGATTTCTTCCACTGTTAGAGAATCACACTAGACCCGCTTGGATAATCTAGGCTAATCTCCCTATTTTAAGGCCAGCTGATTAGCAATGTTAATGGTATTTGTAACCTTAATCCTCCATTGCCATGTGACATGGAATTTTCACAGGTTCTGGGAGTTAGGACATAGACATCTTTGTGTGAGCATTATTCCTCCTACCACAGATGGGTAGAGTTAAATCTTATAAGATGAAACCAAGATAAAATGTCAGTTTTGAATTATTGACAAAATAACATTTTTCAAATTGCTTTCCAGTTACACATTGTAACTTATAAATTAGAAAATTTTAGCAGTCTTTAAAATGCATGCACAGTTATCTTTTTTGGGTCAGGTAGCATTTAAAGGACGTATATGAGATGGATGTTGGATAGCTAGAATCTTTGCAGGACTATTTTGACCCTAAGGAATGACAGTGAGGAAAGCTGAAAGGTTATAGAAGAGAGATAATTAAAGTGAGTTCTGATCTCCCGCTCAGGCTGGGAAGACATTCTAAACACCTAGTACTGAATGAATAGTTCATTGGGAAATGTCTGCTTGATAATGTGATAATGACTTCCTATAGGCTAAAATAAAAGCTGAGCATGAATTTTATTTTCTTCTTCTGATTCCATAATCTATTATTTTACTTTCTATTTCCTCATAGCCAGGTCTTAACCATTTTGTGTCTCTAGTTCTGAGATATTCTGATTTTTACTTTCTCATCAGTCTACATTTTCAATTTCATCTAGATATATTTAAGTCCATGTGACATTATGTTTGCATTTGTTTCCTAGTGCATTAAACATTTTTATTATTACAAAGTGACCATATCTATATTTAATAATACATTTGCTGTGAAGTTTGCTTTGCCTAATATTAACAAAGCAACAAACCTTTCTTTTATGGTTTGCACTGTATTTTTTCTTTCTTTCTGGTTTTTAAAACACATTTATTTAATTTGTAAATTAACTGTATTAGTCTGTTTTCACACTGCTATAAAGAAATACCTCGTTCACCTTCAGCCTGGTGTGGGCCTTTTAAACATATAACATAAAAATGGCTTCCAAAAGAGCTCTGGTCATCCTGGCTAAAGGAGCAGAGGAAATGGAGACGGTCATCCCTGTAGATGTCATGAGGCGAGCTGGGATTAAGGTCACCGTTGCAGGTCTGGCTGGAAAAGACCCAGTACAGTGTAGCCGTGATGTGGTCATTTGTCCTGATGCCAGTCTTGAAGATGCAAAAAAAGAGGGACCGTATGATGTGGTGGTTCTACCAGGAGGTAATCTGGGTGCACAGAATTTATCTGAGTCTGCTGCCGTGAGGAGATACTGAAGGAGCAGGAAAACCGGAAGGGCCTGAGAGCCGCCATCTGTGCAGGTCCTACTGCTCTTTTGGCTCATGAAATAGGTTTTGGAAGTAAAGTTACCACACACCCTCTTGCTAAAGACAAACTGATGAATGGAGGTCATTACACCTACTCTGAGAATCGTGTGGAAAAGGACGGCCTGATTCTTACAAGTCGGGGGCCTGGGACCAGCTTCGAGTTTGCACTTGGCAATTGTTGAAGCCCTGAACGGCAAGGAGGTGGCGGCTCAAGTGAAGGCTCCACTTGTTCTTAAAGACTAGAGCAGCGAACTGTGACGATCACTTAGAGAAACAGGCCATTAGGAATCCATTCTCACTATGTTCGCTCTAAACAAAACAATGGTAGGTTAATGTGTTCAGAAGCGGCTGTCACTACTGCTTTTGCGGAAGTGTAGTTGTGAACTCACAACTACACAGATTTCTCAGCCTACAAATTGTGTCTATACATTTCTAAGCCTTGTTTGCAGAATAAACAGGGCATTTAGCAAAAAAAAAAAAAAAAAAAAAAAAAAGAAATACCTGACACTGGGTAATTTATAAAGGAAAAAGATTTAATTGACTCATAGTTTTGGCTGGTTGGGGAGGCCTCAGGAAACTTACAATGATGGTGGAAGGCAAAGGAGAAGCAAGCACCTTCTTCACAAGGCGGCAGGAGAGAGAGCAAAGGGAAACTGCCACACATTTTTAAAACCATCAGCTCTCATGAGAACTCACTATCATGAGAACAGCATGGGGGAAACCACTCCTATGATCCAATCGTGTCATACCAGGTCCCTCCCCTGACACATGGGGATTACAATTTGTGATGAGATTTGGGTGGGGACACAGAACAAACCAAATCATTAACTTACGTGGAAGCATTACGTAAAATGTCATAATCTCAATGTAAAAGCTTCAAATCCATTTAGTTATTAAACACTTAGAGAAATATTCAAATTATGTCAATTTATTTATTTGTTTGTTTTCGTTCTTTGTCACATTTTATTTTAAGTTCTGGGGAACATGTGTAGGATGTGCAGCTTTGTTACACAGGTAAACACATGCCATGGTGGTTTGCTGCCCTGATCAACCCCTCACACACGTATTAAGCCCCACACCCATTAGCTGTTCTTCTTGATGCTCTCCCTCCCCTCAACGACAACTAGCCCCAGCGTGTGTTGTTCCCCCCATGTGTCCATATGTTCTTATCATACAGTTTCCTGCTTATAAGTAAGAACATGTGGTGTTTAATTTTCCGTTCCCGTGTTAGTTTGCAGAGGATAACAGCTTCCAGCTCCATCCACGTCCCTGCAAAAGACATTGTCTCATTCCTTTTTATGACTGTATAGCATTCTCTGGTATATATGTACCAAGTTTTCTTTATTTAATCTACTATTGATGGGCATTTGGGTTGATTCAATGTCTTTGCTATCATGAACAGTGCTGCAATGAACATACACATGCATATGTCTTTATAATAGAATGAGTTCTATTCCTTTGGGTACATAGCCAGTAATGGGATTGCTGGATCAAATGGTATTTCTGCTTCTAGATCTTTAAGGAATTACCACACTGTCTTTCACAATGGTTGAACTAATTTATATTCCCACTAACAGTATAGATACATTCCTTTTTCTCTGCCACTTTGCCAGCATCTGTTGCTTCTTGACTTTTTAATAATCACCATTCTAACTGGCCTGAGATGGTACCCCATTGTTGTTTTGATTTGCATTTCTCTAATGACCAGTGATGTTGAGTTTTTTTTTCATGTTTGTTGACTGCATGAATGTCTTATTTTATGAGGAGACTGTTCATGTCCTTTGCTCACTTTTTAATGGTTTTTTTTTTTCTTGTAAATTTGTATAAGTTACTTGTAGGCTCTGGATATTAGGCCTTTGTCAGATGGATAGACAGCAAAAAATTTCTCCCATTCTGTAGGTTGTCCACGTTGAAGATAGTTTCTTTTGCCATGCAGAAACTCTTTATTTTAATTAGATTCCATTTGTCAATTTTTGCTTTTGTTGCAATTGTTTCTGGCATTTCTGTCATGAAATCTTTGTCCATGTCTATGTCCTGAAAGGTATTGCCTAGATTTTCTTTTAGGGATTTTAGTTTGGGTTTTACATTTAAGTCTTTAATCCATGTTGAATTAATTTTTGTATAAGGGGTAAGGAAGTTTCAATTTCCTGAAATGGATAGTCAGTTCTCCCAGAATCATTTATTAAATAGGGAATCCTTTCCAAGTTGCTTCTTTTTTCAGGTGCACTATATTTTTCTAAATTTTCACCTTCAATCTTCCAATATTTTTAGACATTGTCTTGTAAAAAATATATCTTATATTTGGATATCTCACTGTATGCTTACTATTTGTTCAACCTACTCTAGTTTGCTTTCTGTTTTTATTTTTTTGTGAACTTCTTTTAGAACATATTAGCATTATTTTTTCACTTATTCCTTTGTTAATTTAGAAGATACACATTCTGGCAATTTAGTTAGGGCTTTCTCTAGGAAACAAACAATCCATTTTGACATAACAAAGTTTAATATTAATTACATTTGCTTTGTGGATATTTTTGATATTGCTTTTGTAATATATTGTAATGCTGTTAATTTATCTAAACACCACAAGAAAGTTTGCCATGTTAATACAAACAATGTTCATCTAGATTCATCTACATATTTATTTTCTCCTGTACTATTTACCCCTTCTCACATCTCCAAGCCTCTATCTGGCATGATTTTTCTTTGCCTGAAATAGCACCCTTTACTTTGCTCCCTACCTGGTTGATGGCTTCAATTATACTTTAAACCTCAGCATCACAAAATACACCTTTGTAACAAACCTACACATGAACTTCCTATTTCTAAAATAAAAGTTGAAAACAAAAGAAATGAAAAAAATAGAACACAGAATCTGATCCATCATAGTCAAGTATTCAATAAATATTTGTTGAATAAATAAAAAATACAAAAAAATTAAAAGTACCTTGAATATGTCTTTTAGTAAATCTTTGTTTTGTTGAATTTTCTTTATTTTTATATTTGTCTGAAAACAAATTTATTTTATCAGGACTTTTAAAAAATATTTCCAAGGTACAACAAACTCAGATAGCAGTTATTTTCTTCCACTACTCTACAAATATCATGTAGTTGTTTTGTTTCTTACATTTTGTTTTCTATTAAAAGTATCTCTTGCTTCCAGTTAGAGCCAAGAAGGAATAAAACCACTGCAGCCATCTCTCCCAGTGATCATACCTCAATACGCTAGATAAAATGCAAAAGACAACTATCTGAGAATATTGTACAATAAATGATAGCAAGAACTTTGTAGAAAGAAGTAAAAATTGAATATTGACTAATATGACAACCAGGAGTTTCCTGTTTTTATTTTGTTTTCCCTTTCTTTTTCTCGCTTCCTTTATTTCCCAGCATGGACTTGAAGTCAAGACCAATTAAGTCATGGACAACAAACAAAAACTCTGAGAGAGCGTGTCCTACTGATCAGAGACCTAGGAAGAGGCCCCTGTGAGCCAGCAGCTATGGAAGACCTCTCTGTAACTGCTCCTTTGTTTTGGCTCCTGAGCTGACTCCAAGGCCCGCTGGCCATGCAGCTGCTGCCATGGAGCCTGGGGCAGCTGAGCCAGTTGGAAACCTGGAGAGAAAATCCACCCTCAATCTAAAGGATCTGGAAAAATTAGTTTCTGTGGCATGAGGGATCCCCATTCTTCTCTCCTTTTCTCATGCTGTTTTCTCCAGTCACGAGGAAATGTGCATCAGTACAGGAAACTAAACTCTGAGAAAAGTCTTGGATTTCTGGACAGAAGACCAAAGAGAGTGATGCTGGGATCCAGTGAGAGTGGGGAACTCCCACCTAGGAGGGAAGGGAAGGAAGCGATATCCCAATTTTATTGAACTGCGAGAAGCTCTGGGTCCACCCCAAGCAATGCATGTGTGGAACACCCAAATGGCGAAGCAAAGGCTTTGAAACTGAGCTGCTACCATAGACACTGCACAAAAATCAGACAGAACTGTCTAAATCTAATCATGTTGTTCACCTGCCGGATAGTTCTTGTGGTCGTCCAAAAATGATCCTCCCAAAATATCCACATCAAAAACCTAGAACTGGATAAAGGATCCTTGCAGATCTACTTCAGTTAAAGATCGTGAGGTCAGGCTGTAATATGTGAGTGGGCCCTGGGACCAATGACAAGTGTTCTCATAAGTGACACACAGAGAAAGAATCAATGTAACCACAGAAGCACAGGTCTGTGTGATGTGGCTGTGAGCCAGGGAATGGTGGCAGCCACCAGAGACTGGGAGAAACAAGGCTTCTCCACTACAGAGTCCAGAGGGATGTATCCAGAGGGATGGCTTCAGATTTCAGACAAATGGGCCACAGAATTGTGAGAAAATGAATTTCTGTTGTTTTAAGTAACCAAGTTTGTGGTAATTTGCTTTGAAATTGTTTTACGAAAATTTGGAATTTTAGGAAACTAATACAGTTCCCTATTGCTGTGTAACAGAATATCCCAAAACTTTGTGACTTTAACCAAATATTTATTATCCTATAATCTCTGTATGTCAGGAGTCCACATGTGGCATAGCTGGGTCTTCATCCCCTGTTTTGTTTGTTTTTGTTTTTTATTTTTGGCTTTCTCCCCTACTCTCTAACCTTTACCCCTGCCCCCACCGACCTGATGCCGTGGGAGGGATCGGCCCTCAAAGAAGTGGTGGTGCATGCTGGGCCCAGCCTTCTTGCCCACCCTCACTTTCCAGGGCAGAAAGGGTCCAAGGTTATAATAAGAAGTAAATAACTAGTCTGTACAGCCTGTGCTTGTGTGGTGTGAGATGGAGTGCAGGGTAGGGAACAGCTGGCATGGGCCTCTGGTTGGTACATCTTTGTGTGTTGATCCCTGAGGTGACTGGCATGTGCTGAGCCCTCAGCATGTGATTAGTGTGGGTTAGCATGTACTGGATTTCTCAAAAGGCTCTCAAGAGTCATCTGCTATCTCATCTGAAGTCTTGTAAGAGAAGCGTCTGCTTCAGAGCTCACTATGCAGCCAACGGACATGGAAGGTGATCCCATAAGGGTATAAATATCAGGAAGTGAAAATCATGGGGGAGCATCTTACTAACCTACCCATCAAAGTCTGATGATTCATATCCCTTATATATTATGCCAAATATATTTACTTATTTCCAAGGTTCCCAAAAACTTCACCCTATTACAACATTGCATATTTTAAAGTCTTCAATTATTTAATAATAAGTAATCATGGAAATAAAAATTGATAACTTTCTACCAATACTTGTTCCTATAGCTGGTGAAATAATGAATGAAAAAAATTGGCAAATTATTAATTGGAATCAATTAATCTTTCTTACAATTTATAAATTTTACGTTTTAGAATCTATTCAAGTCCACTTTACCTAAAATAATAGATACTGGGAGTGAATGCTCATCTAAAATAATAGCAAATGCTCATTATTTGAGTGCTGGTTAAGAAATGAACTGAACCCCACCTACCCCACAACAGCATAGCCTCTGCCATGCTTTGCTTTCCAATGTGAAAGCATAGAATTTGAATAAAATGAGTTGAAACCTGTGCCAATACAGCTTAAGACAAGTCCCTAAAGCCTTCACACTCTTTCTACTAGACATCGTTCACTAAATATCAAATATTAACAACTATTATAAATATTTTGGAGCCACTCTGAATAATCATAAAATACAATTTTACATTGTCAGTGTGTGTCTAGGTATTTTTTAACCATTATGATCAATTATTTCTGGAAGAAGAGATTTTTCAGATAGCAACTATAATTATATAGAATTTTTAAAAACTGGGTATGAAAATCCCAGTCTCATAAGATTACTTTTAGAAACTAGTGAGCAAAGAGAAAAGAAAATGATCAGTACGTTGATCTAATTATTCTAACACAGGTTGTTTTTTGTTTTTTGTTTTTGCTCTCTTTTATCCTTCCCCTGTCTGTTCTCCAACTAGTTTACAACAAAATGTGATTCATTATTAAAAAGTTTATATACATATGTATGTCTTATTTCAATAGCACAATTTTTAAACTGTCAAACTTATTATTTTATATGCATTTTAATCCTTTTTTCAGTTTTATTTTATGCCTGATAATCTCTTGAGTGGAATTTCTTTAAATATTGTATCACAATATTTTTATTTCTGCACCTATTATTAACAAACTATTCAAGCCAGACTTACACAAGCCTATGCTCTCAGAATATTGGCAAATAAAGAAAAAGTTCTATATCTTTCCATAAGGTATTATTTCCAGTATATCTTTAGAATTAAAAAAAAGTAAGAGAAGTAGAACTGATATCTAACTATCCTAATCAAAAGTTTTCCTAGCTACTCTTTCTGCCTAATTTATTTCTTTATGCTAATCAACCATATTGTTTCATCAATGCATTGTGTCTTCTCCAAAGTCAATGTGACTTTCACTTTTTTTATTGCTATGCCTAATAACTTTTCAACATTTACGTAGTACTTTCCATATCAGAGTACATTGTAACCTAATGCTTTTGAATGGAAACTGACTACAAGAACAAAAGAACATGTAATTAGAATATAGAAATAGGAGGTGAAAGAAGAAATACATAACTTTTAATATTCAACAAACATACGGATCTCCCAACCGTTAAAACAATAGTATAGGGGAATCATTTGCTTTCCTAAGTAAGATGGTGAGCACTTAATACAAAGATGAAAAGCAAGCAGTAAAATGTGGCTTGTCCTTCCTTAGGCTTACAGAAGGTAGAGACATTTGCATCTTCACTGTTTTGTTGTTGCTGTTGCTTTTAACTAAAGCATTGACTTTTCAAATGCTTGTCAGCTGAAGCACAGCATTCTAACTGAATAGACCGTTTGAAGAAATACAACATGACAGTATTCCCAAGATTTTAGGTCAATGCAAATTTGGATCTAGGTAAGGAGAAAAAAAAAAAAACTTTGCATTTAAAGTTTAACATTGTGTTCTTTCAAAAACATTTGTCTCACAAATATGTTCATAACTTGTTTTTAAGAAACTAATCATTTCTGTAATAAATTCCCTAGCCTCATGCGGTATTTTTCTGTGTTTAACTCTAGAAACATCCATGTATGTCAGTCAAAGGAGAGGAGACAGTCCCCAGAGAAACACTGCATTTCTTTTCCCTTTTTTTTCTTTGTTTTTCAGTCATTCTGAAACCTATGCCCTCTTGTGCAACCTCAACTCTAATATGGTGACAACACTGGATTAGCAAGGGCGGGCTTTTAGTGAGCGCTCACTCTTGCCCAAGCTAGGCACACCCATGTCTAGCCTCCTTGTTGAGGGATGACCCTGGGTAAGGCTTGGCATATTTGCACCTATCCTAGAATCACCAAAAAGAAAAAAAGAAAATCTGTTTTTATTCACACTGGAAGCACATTTCCACATGAATCAAATAACCAAAAATTCAAAAGGCAGGGTGACCCAGAGTTTTGAAAATTATCTATAGAAAGAGACATATCATCCACCAAGAGTGAGGGGTAAACTGCACAGCCAATTGGAAAACACTTAGCATGGCATGGTAAAACTGACCATGCACATATCCCACGACTGTCAACCCTATTCCCAGAGCATCCCATCACCGTATGCATGGCCATTATGATGGCATTGTTTGAAATAGCCATAGACTGGAAACAAGACAGTTGCCTTTATTGGCTAGTGGTCCTCCTGTAGTTTTAGAAAGGTATAGTCGCCACAATCCCTTCTTATGTTTCAAAGCAAAGTCTACTCTGTGCAAGGATACTTCGATCTGAAGGGTCATTTACATAAGAACAATTTTGTGTGTTCACGTGCTGGTGACAGAGTTACGTATTTCTGCTTGACCATTTGTATATTAGACTCCCGATATCCCTTAGGACTTCTGAAATGCCTCAACATGGCATGAACAATTGTGGACTGAGGAGAGAATTAACACAAGGGTATGGATGATGACAAGTACTTTTTCTAAAACAATTATTATTAATTATACCTAGATTGATATTCAGTAAGCTGAGGTTTATGGTTTTGTATATTTTGTTAGACTATATTTCTCATAGAATTATTAATAACAGGGAGAAAGAATTGTTTAGGTTATTAAAGAGTTAAAATAATGCAAAGATAGCTACAATAAAGAGACACAGGAATGTGGAAGGAAGAAACGGTTGTAGTGGAAAGAGAGAAAATGCAGAGAAGCCATTTCTAATAATACAGACCAGGCTCTACCTAATGTGAGATAACGGCAATCTTCTGACTCTTCTGACTGTTTCCTTCAGTCTCTATGCTAACTCTTTCGTCCTAGCCTACTACTCCTCAAACTTTCCTAACTGTAATTCTAAGATCTCTAAAGGTAAACCAATAATGCTGTCTTGAATTCCAGTATTATATTAGTCCAGAACGATTTTACTTAAATATATTTAGCGATTATATGCTAACTACTTGTTTTCATTTGCTTAAGTACTGTAGGGATTTATGATGCTTATTAATGGAAATCTATGCAAATTATTGAACCAGAAATTTGGGCTAGAACTCTCAATTTTCTTTCAATAAGTATTCCAAAATTGCTTTCATAATGAATGTCTCATTCTGAGAAGAACACTAAACAATTGATGTGAAGTTACATATATAATTGAAGGATTTTATAACGCCTGATAAACCCTGGCTAGGTATTCCTTGAATCGTCACTTACATTGTGCTTTGTGAGATTTGAAATATTAGTTGCTATTGCTTGTAGCCAGTCAACGCAGTCTTCAGCAGAGAGGCTCTGAATAATCCCACTGCAGACCCCATCCACAGCAATGACTTGAAAGGCATTCTGCCTGCAGAGGTTGAGAACAAATCAGATCAAAACATACTGTCATTGATCTATTTGCAACTCATAATAGTATCTGTTGAAAAGCTTATCTTTGAAACAATATAAATATCAGCCTCCAAATTCATATTTGGTTACCTGACTTTATAAACATCTCTGTTTTAAATGAAACACTGAAGATAGACCCAAATGACATACAATTTCAATTTAGTAGGAAGCATCTTTAGATTCAGGTAACTATGGAGAAACTTTGACTTCTAAAACATACAATATTTAAATGAAAGAGAATCTAAGAAATTTTAGATGCATTCTTTTCCCAGTTTGCTATAACATTATGCATAGTTTACTTATTATTTAGGCTACCTTTGTCTCCTCTTAACATTTGTCAATGCATTTTCTGACTTAGAAAGATCGCAAACACAGGCAATAAAACATTCAGCGTGACATTAAAAAGTCACTTGATAACGTGAGTGGCAGCACTTTATCCGTTGTTCTCCACCCTCATTCTCAGTCTGTTCATCTTCTCAAAGATGATTTGGAACAAGAGATTCATACCTCCTTTCCAGGTCTAAATGATCATGCTCTCCATTTGCATGGATGCTGAAAATTTCATTAACATTAAACTTTTTTCTTAAAATGTTATGATCAGTCTCAGCATTCTGAAAGTATATTATTGACTTTTGTTTTTGTTGTCATAGACACTTAAATGATGCTTTTTAAAATTGTTCACAAAAGTGCTATTGAATTTAAAAGTGTGCCCTATAGTTTCAGTGACTTCCTTACTTCCAGATATTTTAATATTTTGATATAAACTTAATGGACAGGAATATATAAAATCCCAAAATGGATGGAAGCCAGCCAAAGTATCATGCTTAAGAATTACTTCATTGTGCAACATGATACACAAACTATATTTCAATTCCAGTCAATTATGAATAGAAAACTTCTGCAATTCAGTATTCAAAATGCTATGTAAAATGTATAAATTTATATGTTTTCTCCAAACAAACACCTTTCCTGGCTCTTCTACTAGACATTTGTGGATATAAAACATGAGTTTAATCCCCAAACAAAGAAAATCCGATAGAGCATGTCTGACTTAGGTCTCCTGCTAGATTTATGCCACTCTGCCTTCCTGTCTCAGAACTGGGCACACGGTAAGGCCTTGGGCATTCACGACTCTGAGGGTTCAAATTGTCAATATTTTTAGAGAAACTGGTTCTCATATTTTGGACACAGCACTTTATAATGAAAACAGGGATGTGCTCGGATATACGTTTTTGTTTTCTTTTAAAAATACATTAAAAGAATTTCAGAAGTATAACTGTTGTGCATTTCTTTGAAATAAAGTTAGTTTGATTTTGTGACAGTGTACGCATTGAATGAAAATAATGTTATAATTTCACACGATATTTTTAGCTTTCATTCTGATGTTTAACAGCAAGTAAGATGTTTAAAGTATTCAGACAGAAGTTTAACCATCCATAGAAAATGAGAAATAATTGGAGTTTAGTAATACATATTTCTTTCTGCTCACCGGTTGTAATCACTGCTTCATTTACCATAAATTAAAGCATATCTTGATCATATTTGTCTTCTCTGCTTTAAATGAATAACAGCAGCTAGATATCTTTAGCTAATAAAAGTCAGTACACTTAGATCAAATCTTCAATCTATGTAATTACGGATGCTACATAGTCCCTACATAGAATAATTGAGGGGCTGATCTTTTATGAAACTAGACTTGTAAGTTAATACATATCAATTTTTACGTTCTGTCTCAACCTTTCAAATATGGAAACTCTTTCATGAACATAAGTGAAACACTTGAACAGTTTATTTGATTACATATGACCACTGATAGAATAAGTTGATCATAAAAATTACAGTTATCTGGGGCCTCTATTACTAAGTAAAGAAGGTTATTAGTAAACTAGCTCACTTAGTTGTGCCTCAATTTCATCTAAAGTGAGAAGAATTTACTGTACAGATTTAACAAGTATTTTCTGAATAACTGGTGGATCTAAATACTTTAATATATGGGTGAAGTTCTATGTATAATATTCCCCTGAATAATCTATCAATATGGTCTTGGTTGCAATATTTCAGTGTTAAAAGTAAACGTACCCACATAGAATTATTGTCTCATCAAGCACTAGGGAAAAACTGCAGTGCTTTTGTTTTTATTTGTAGCTTTTAGAAAATGTAATTCTAGATAAGCAATAAGAGTTAATATTTATTATGGAATCAATAGACTCCATTACCCATTAATTTAGCATTGTGAGACATTAAACTTTTACAGCATTAACAGTAACCTTATGGATACCCAGACAAAACTATGTGTCTTAGTCTTAGTTATATATATATATACACACACACGCAAAAATTACATCACTGAAGAGTTAGTCCGAAGTTTTTTGTTCAGGCTTATTTTTCCACTGTCCACTTATACAGTTTTCTAAAGATTCTTGGTAACTCTTCTGGCAGTAAAAAGTATTTTCAAATGTTGCTCAATTTCAAAGTAGGTTTATTCATTTAAAATACAAATTTAGTCTTCCTTGAATGAAAAGTATACTGCTCACTATATAAATTCATGAATAATTTTCAACCTAACATAAGCGATCAAATAAATATACATCATTTCTAATTAATACAGTTTGTGATTCCTGTTTTGATTCATTGTTGATTTTACCCCACAAGAGGATATGTACTTTTATGCCACAGAGACTAAAATGTAAAAGTTTGGAGTGGCTGGAATGAGCATGAGTTCTGGGAGCTCACCATGGAAAAACAGGCAGACTCAGAATGAGGTGGGCTTAAAGTCTGCAAGGAACCACTGCAGAACTCCACCTAGAGGACCACAATGGCTAGATTTGTGTGGCTTGGGTGGTCCTGTTAGACCAGCGAGGGAAGGACTCTCACTGGTAAAACTTGAAGTGATATGAAACTGAAATAAACCTATATTAGTGAGAGTGAAGATGAAGCAACTTAGTTCACTTAGTTGTGCCCCAATTTCCCCTAAAAAATGAGAACGATTTACAGATTTAACAGGAATCTCGGTCCTTTCACATATGGTTGAAGTTCTACGTATAATTTCCCCCTTAAAGGCATTAGAAATGACGTGATTCAATAACTGCTTTTTAAAATGAATTATGAAGGAGTGAGTAGAATCAAAACTGCTCCACCATGTTGGGTTAAGCAGTGGGATGGCTTGGCTGGGGCAGGTAAGGGAAAGCAAAACTTTTAAAGAGGAGATAATTAATCCAAAAGAAAATGTTCAAAGCATGAAAAGCATAGTATATCCAGAGAAATATGCGTTGTCTGGCATATTGTGTGTGGATCTGAAGAGGAGGCAAGTCATGAAGTTGGTGATTGGACAAGGCAAAATCAGTGATAATTCACATATCTTGCTGCAACTTGATCCTGAGGGTCAGGGGAGCCACTGGTGACATTGAAGCACTGGAGGAAAAGGGTCATGCTTATATTTTAGAAATATCTCTCTGTGGGGTGAAGGATATGGAGAAAAAGTGAGAATAAAGTCTGAGGTATGTGAGAAGGGTATTGCAATACACAAAAGGAATTATGAGAAAAATCAGTCTCACAGAGTGGCCCCGTGTGAAGACGGAACATTGACTCATTTACTTGATTTCATTATCACTTAATTGGTGGGAGGATGCTATTCAAGGAAAGGAAGAAATAAGAAGAGGCCCCTCGGGTTTGTGACTGTAGCGTTTTACTCTGTCTTATTGAGTGTAATCCACACACAGCAGGCCTGAGTTGTTTCTTCCCTGTGTGCACTACCTTAGTTCACTGCTGTGTCTTCTCTTTAATCTTTCAGGCACAAACCTAAGCTGTTTAGGTACATCAGCAGCTTTTTCAAGTTATTTTTTGTGACTTATTTTCCAGACCTTAAATTCACTAGATGTTTCATGAGTTGAAACCACATAACTCATCATTCCCTAAAGAAGTCCTGCACTTTATGCAACAGTGTCTTTCTTCCTGGTACGCTTTGTGTGAAATGCCCATCTATGCTCCTTCAACATCTCCAAGGTCCTTGCAAGTCAGTTAACACTGGGAAACTCTCTGACCCGCAGTTCCTCTAGTCGTGAAATGAAGAAGGCAACACATTTTCTGCACACCTCAGGCTGTATTTTAAAGGCTATAGACTGGACTTCTTAAGAACTGAAAAATCTGTCAAAAATACCAGTTGTGTTATTTCTGCCTGTCAAAATCCATTTCAAATTTTAAGAAGTTAACTCAGGTGCCATCTCTTCCATGATATTTTCTGTAACCCTTGTATTTGGAATGAATCTCTTCCACTTTAGTGCCCCTAGACTTCCTGATTCCTTTATTGCAACATTTGTTCTCTGTGGTATTAAACATGTTTGTGTAACAGCTAAATCCTGTTCGATCTTACTAAGCTGCTAGCTCCTTGAAGGAAAAGCCATATATGCTATTTTATACCTCTCATAGCATTAGCACAGTACTCGGAGACTTTAATCTGTAAGTAAGGAACAAAAACAAACAAGTCCATCTCCATTTTACTTTCACAATCCACTGCTTTTGCTAACTTGATATCTAGTGTTGTCCAAGACAGCTCCACTGTCAGACTTGAATTCTCACATTTCTGTTCTTTAACTATAACCTCTTCGTTTCCATCACCACCAAATTACCCTATTATTTTTCTGATCTTTCTTAGTCCTTCCAATTACCCTAGTAAGTGTGTTATAATAAACTGGAAAAATGAAACAAATAACGACTCTTTAGCAAGCTAATTTGCCCTAGATTGAAAGAACTATACAAAATTGATCTAGAATTTTTCAAAGGAAATGTGGACTTTTCCAAAGAGAGTTATATATTTTAAGGGTATTATGACAGTTTCTTTTTTAATCCCCTACATAATTGTGTAAGAACAAGTGAAGAGGTTTATGCCAGAGGAAGGAATATTTGCATGACTTATGGAAAGGGTCTTAATGGTATTTAGTTGATGTTTTCTAAAAATTATTG